GACCCACAAACATGACTGTCAGGCCAATACTTCCAGTTATGCTCTAGAAAACAATAACTACATTCTTAGTTGGGGTTCCCATTTATCGGTTTTTAGAAAGAGCCAGGTAGTAGAAATCAATTGATTTCTTTCCTCCTGTCCCAGTGAGTGCCACCAAAGTGCCAGGTGTCTGTCAGGAAACCACTGCTGTGTATCATAAAAACAATTAGTGATTGAAAGTAGCTGGTGTCTCTGCCTAAGCACAACACTTAAAAGCTGCTGGAATCAATCTGACTCTTGTACCTGTTTTTCCAGTGTCACCCAAAGAGCAGACCAGTTTCTCAGAGCAAAGTTCAAATACAGTATTTTTCCAGTAGAAAACCTGAGTTTGATGTTTCCTGCCTTCTCCCACGCCAGTGACCATGTGCTCCTTTTCACTCTGAGCCTTCTGGAGCAGATCATGGCACTGAGGCAGCCCTGCCTCCCTCTCCCCACACCGAGGGGCACTGCAGGAAAGAGTCTCAGTGCCCAGGAGCAGCTTTGGTGCTGAACTGCACTGGGGATTACCCAGCAGTAGTTTGGGATTTCCTAAATTCATGCCATGAGTAATTCAATCAGGCTCAGGCAACAAAATGGATCCAATCCAAAATTCAATCCAACTCACTTCAGCAGCAAATTACATCTAAATTTTAGATGCTTTTTGAGCCAGTCCTTCTAAAATAAATCCCATATATAGCAGGGGGAAAGCTAGGTGCCTTTGAGAGCCTCCTGAGGGACAGCCTAAATTGGGCAGGCACAATCTCCCTCTGGAGTAGCTTTTCTAGGCATTTATCTCTCCCTATTGAACATGGAGGGAATTTAGGCACTTAATTTAAGAGAACTAGTTCACTCTGTGCTCAAAACATAGGTGCTAATTAGCTGCCCATGCCTGACTGGAAACCCTCCCAATTTAGAGTCTAAATAATTTATCTTAAAGGCTAGCATTATGTTATGCCCTAGTAAAATTTTTAAAAACGAAACAAACCAGCATGCTTTGTGCACTGCAAACAGATCAAGATCAGGAATGCAGTAAGAGAGAATATGAAAGGGATGGAAGGACCATACCTTAGTTACTCCTAAATGATCCTTGCTTCGAATATTTTGAAGCAGTGGGGCTGATATCAGACACTTGTGACTTTCCCACTATCTCTCCCAAAGCACCCAAAAGCCCCACTTACATGCTTTTTTGGAATGAAAACCTACAGTAGCAGTACTGGGGTAAGAAAACCACCTTTTTCTGCTGTGCTGTTCCCAGAAGACTCGTTTGAATTTAGGAGTATCTTATACTACAGATGAGTGTCTTCAGATGTGTTGGTAGTAGGAAATATCAGCCTCCACAGATTTCACATATCCCTCAATTAAAGGAGTGTGTGGGCTTCTTCTTTAATTAAAGTGAATCTTATAGAGAGAATTTAAGTTCCTAGAGACATTATGAGAATTTATTGCACCCACTGGCTAAATTAGTACAGATACCCCCATTTTCCCAGGCTGAGTCTGCAGCTCTTGGCATCTGCACAGATATTGGGCACATAAATCCAGTGTGGGATCAGCTCCTGCCCCCAGTGCTGCTTCTCCAACACCCAGGAATGCTGGGTCACTTCCCTAATTTCACTTTGCTCCCCTCATCTGCAACACAGAGATAATACTCCTCAGCTCTGTGGTGGTGCCAGGCTTGATTCATGAATGTTTTAAGGCATTCTGTGATTTTCAGCCTGAAAGGTGCTTGGGAACCATAAATTATTGGTTTAATACAGATCATGGTTTTCATCTCATAAATCTTTTATGTACTACTCCAAATTCATGCCTGATATAACTCTAATAACTTGTGCAGTATTAAGCAAGGGATAAATTTGGTACAGTGTATGAGGCAGCAAAATGAAATTCCAAGTGTGAGACCAAGGGCTTAACAAGTGGCATTTCTTACAGAGTAATGTCAGAAACCTACCCCACTGCCCACTTCCTTACAGAAAAATATAATCTCATGGCACTCTGACTTGTTAAGTCTTAATTCATCATTAAATGTCTGCTTCACATCAAAATAGTATTTTTCTAATATTTTCTATTGCTATACATAGGTAGTTTGTGTTTATTGAGAATTAGTAGACGTGGTTATGTTTTGCAATCTGTTTTGACAAAAATATTTGAGTTGAAAGCAGATTATTTTTCACAGGAACAAAACTTTAAATAAGACATTCCTATAGCTTCTAGTCCTTAGCCATGGGAGCATAGGACCCAGGACTAGGAGGGATCCACTGGGTCACAGTCACATCATAAACAGTGATGTAGAAGGCTTGGAAAAAGCCATTTTAAATAGGTGGACATTTTGCCCCCCTACAGTAATAAAAATATAGTGTTCATAGAGTTCACTGCTGTGATAGTTCAGTTTCTTTAATTCCCAGACCAGATGTTCTCATGCCCAGTTTAGAACTCTGTTATTGGGCCAGCATTTCTCTATAGCTGAAATAACTTTGCTCCTCCAGTGTCATCTGACCAATCCCCCTTTGTGTGTACATGAAGAATAACTGCAGTCCTACTCAACCTTCATTTTGTTAGCCTAAGAAAGTCAAACTCTTTTAGTCTTCCTTTAACATGTAATAAATCTAATTTACACAAGGAAGAAAATTCTAAGGATATAATAACCATCTTTGAAAAGGAAAAAAAAAAATATCAGACCCCATACTTCAGTTAGACCTTGGTAAAATTCAGCTCTTTATTAAGTCTTGTCTCCTTCCCCTTCATTACTCTGATTCTGAACATTATTTCTGGTCTTCCCAGAGTTTATCCTCTGACCTCTGCAGCAGGTTTGGGCAATAAACTGCCTTTCCAGCTGTCCTCAGATTTTCTATTCTTCACTGTCTGCATTGAGTGAGCTTGGGTACTTTGGTTCTCATAATCTTTCTTCATTTCATCCTTCCCCCATTCTTTCCAATTGAAGAAAATTTCCATGGAATGTAATGGGAAACTTGATAAGCATCTGACTCTTATGTGATAATGTACCCTACTGATAGTCTTACAGACACAGAAACAGAGTATTTCCTATGAAGTTTTTACATTTTCAATGATTCTTACAGAACCTCTTCTTTCCTTCTGTCCCTCTCCAAATGGTCTAGGACTTTTCTTTATGCTGTGTAAATTCAAAAAGAAAAATATATACAAGCAGCTTTTGCTGATATCAGGATAAAATTTTAAAATACTAAAATTAGTTTGGAAAAGACTCAACTCTTAATTTAAGGCATCCATATGTTTTTCAAAATAGTAATGAGTAAGTATTGTCACCAAATCATAGAAGGAAAAATTAGGTCTGCTTAAGTCCTAAATATAATAATTAGGTAAATTTGTAGACCTGGGGATAATGGAAAGCAAAGGTATGCAGTTGATAAAAGTGCAATTTCCAGTCAAGTGTTGAGATTTACCAAATTAAGCAGGTGCCTCCTGTGCACTGAATGAGAGAGCAGCCTGGACAGGCAGCCCAGAGTTAAACCCCCCATGACAAATTTTCTGGTGAGCTGCATCTGCACTCTGGGTTTAGCACATGTGGAGTCTGGGACAGCATCACTGCCACATTTCCAAATTCAGATGCCACATGTGCAGGTTGTGCTGCACTCAGCTGGGCAGGCAATCACTCACCTGTCTCCCATGGAAATTGGTGTTTCAGTGCAGAGCTCTGAGCTCCTGGGCACACGCAGTCGTGCAAGGCTTGCAGCACAGCAAGTCAGTGTTGGGAATCAGATCAAATGTTTGATCCGTCGAAATAGTGGGCTTGTTATTTCAATAGCTCCAGTACTTTGCTGCAGCTTTGCAATACAGAAATCAAGTACTGAACAGCAGGGAATCTAATCTGTTTGCTGTAATAACTTTAGAGATAATCCTGCTGCTGGGCTAGCTCAGAGCCAGTATTTAACAAACAGAGGGTGAGTAAATACCCTTTTTTGGCCAGTTTTAGTCCATGTTAGCATCCCAAATTTAAAAACTCTAACATATCTGAGAGAAAACTTTGAAAATTCAACCATGGAAGAAGAGTTAGAACAGAAGGTTGAGAAGAAGATGGAGAGGATAAAATAAAGCTGAAAGACCTCCAGACCAAAGCAACAGTAGGAAAACTTTTTTTTTCAGATAAAGAAATTAAGGTACTAAGATAAAATAAGTGCAGGGCACACCATCAGACATTCCTCCAGTTCAGCTGAGGTCTTAATCCTCTAATCAGAGATAGATGGCAAAGAGGAGACTTTTATTTCTGAGATTTGTACAGTTTTGTCTTTTTAATTCTGATACAATAAATAGCCTGTGATACAGAGATTTCTGTCAGGTAGCAGAACACCAGTGCATTCATCCAATTAAAAATGGAAAACTGCTCATAAATAAAAAGCATTTTATGAGTCTTCTCACAGTCAGAACTCATGCAGGAAGTTCATACACTCACCAGGCTCCATCCACTGTCATTCACATATCATCTTATGGCAGAGAAGTGTTTCCTGTCTCCGCAGGTTATTGTTTAGAGGGCTAATGCTTATTTATGCTTATAATGCAAGATGAAATTGTTCTGTGGGGAAGCATGACACTTCTGGAAAATAAAAAAAAAAAAAAAGGGCTCTTCTAAAAAAATTTTTAAAAAAATTTAAAAAGCCCTGCTTAACCTCCTGGTGATAGAGAAGGGCAACTTCACCATGGATTTGAGGGGAGCTGCATCAGGCCCTGTAACTTTAGCCCTATAAGAAATAGTATGCAATAACTGCTAAGGAAAAATCATCTTGCTGCTTTTTTTGTGTGTGTGATTTGTTAAACTGCAATATAATTTTGCCCCAAAGGAGTAACTAAACCTTATTTTATTTTATTTTAATCCCAGTGCTATTTGTGCATCGTCTAATTGCAATATCTTACTCTCACAATCAAAAATAAAGCACATTATATTGTGAGAATATGTTTTATTTCTGTAAATTCTGCATCCCAAGAACACTCTGTGACCTGGGGTTCTCTGTTGCTAGCTGGTGAATGAGCAGCAGGAGAGCAGACCCCTCCTGAGCCCCTCCATTGATGACTTTCTCTGTGAAGCTAAGCCAGAAGCTGTTGCAAGGCCTGTAACATCGAATACTGCAGGTAAACAACATTCTTTACTACCCCTCACTAGAGAAAAATAGCTTCAGTTTTAGCTTCATTATGGCACATTTTTGTCAAGTGATTTCTTGGTTTGTTACTGTGTGCACAAAATCACAAGATGGCATTAAATTGTAATTGCCTGGCCTGTTAGTGGAAAAACTTAGTTCATTATATTTTAGGGGAAATCTGATGTGATTCCAATCACATCAATTCCAGCAGATCTTTGGGGCTGAAATTAATGCAATTTGTTTAAGTCTCACAGGATGTACACACCAGACTGAATCAATTCTCTGTATTTGCTTTTGCAAAATTTTAACCTATGGGAAAACCCACATTTAGTCTGGCTTTAATCAAACACTTGCCGTACTCTAGAAAGATTTTTTTTTTAAAATGAAATCTTGGATGAGTTGTTGGAGAGGAAAAGGGGGGGAGGTATCAGAACACTTTATCCAGGCTGAGTTCAGACACTTTGTTAGTGAAAGGATCCAATACATTTCTTACCTCCTTTGTGTTGTAACGAGGCAGTAGAGAAGGTAATAACATCTAAGAGTGAATCCTGAAAACCTTTTGAATATACTGAATTCTATTTGAAGTATATTGTCCTTTGGAAGTATTTTTAGAACCCACTCCTACTCGGTATCTGTGCAGAGGGAGTCGAGGCTGTTGAGCAGATCAGCTGAGACAATAACAGCAGCACTGCACTGCTGGGCTCTCTTGCTGCCTCATGAAAGGACTTGGCTTGTTAGAAAACATTTAATTAAAATTTATATCCATGCAAATTATTAAATGAATAATTGACAGCTGAGTGATTATCTGCACATCTAATTAATGTGTCCAAAGCAGCATGCAAGTTCTAGCAACAAAAGTTGAAATACTGAATTAGATAACAGTTGTAAGTAATATTTTTTCCCTTTAAAAAATAGCTGAAGATATTACAGGGATGAATAGAGCTATTTCAGATTGTTTAAGAATGGTGGGGGGTTTTTTTAATTTACCAGTAAATTTTACACCTGCCTTGACTATCTATCAGATTGGGGTGGAGGTGTCAATTAGATTTATTTAATAGTAAAATAAAAAAATTCTATGAAGACTGATAAAATTCAGTGATTTCCAAGAACACAGATAAAGCACTGCAAGAAGTAATGCAAATTGATCTGTCAAAAACACCTGCTCTGTAACACGATGATAAAAAAGGAGTTTTTCTACCTTTTACATGCTAAAGAATTGTGAATGTTGCTCTTTAGACAAATTTTAAAAGAAGAGCTGAAACTGAACATTTCTTTCATACTGATACAGTCCTTAATAGAAATGGCATTAGACTTTATATTCAGTATTTATGGCCCAAAGGACAAACACCAACAGCAGTACAAAACATTAATAAACATCTTTGCTCCTTTTTGACCCAGGTCCACCCTGGGAGCTATTCCCAAATGGATTGTGGCACAACAGCACTGCCCTAAGCAGCTGTTTCCAGGACTTAAAAAATCTAAGATTAAAGCAAATCTTATCTAAAAGCTCAATTGAACAGGGAACCCTCACAAAAGTGGAAAACCTGTGAAGGCCCCAGCCATAAAACCTCAGATGTCTTTAAGATTTTCAGAGGAAAAGCCTTTTTTGCAAATCCACTGAACTGCATTCAGTTAAGCACTTAAAATCCCCAGGCAGATTTTAATATACTGGTCATCATCTTTAGCCAGGAAATACACACTTACTCTAGCCAAATGCAAACACATCAGTAATATTTTTCCCCTATTAAAACAAATCTTAAAAAGTGAGCTATTTGAATTAAAACAACACTGAATTTTAACATTTTGTCTCTAAGTATTATCAACAGGTCTGGATCTCTTGGATCTTAGTGAACCTGTCTTACAAACCCAAAACAAAGCAAAGAAATCAGAGAATCCTTCAAGAACTGAAGGCTTAAAAGCTTCAACCCACAGAAAGAAGACAGAGAATCCTGACCTGATCAGTGTGGATTCTGAGCAGAAAGTCCAGGCTGCCAGAGTTGCAGACAAGTCTTCTCTAGATTTAGGTAAGAGTGCAGCTGTTTTATCAGTGCTCCCTTGCCCTGCTTAGCACAAGTTTCTCCTGGCTTCCATCACAAAATAATGAGCAACACCAGAATTTTTGCTGCACCCCATTTCAGCAGTGTAGCCTTTGCTCCCCATTATAAACCACCTGAATCACTTCAAACCTTAAACACTGTGAATATATTTTACATTTTGCCTCTGCCACTATGCCTATTAACTTGACCCTAAGTGTGCTAATAAAGTTTCTAAATTTGATTGGAAAAAGGAATTTAGTCAGGGTGTGTAAAATGGTAGAAAAATCTGTAGGGGTCTGATGAGAAAAGGACACAAATAACAGGCAGCCCATACTGATGTCCTTTTCAGAACTGCAGGTGTCAGAAATGCACATTTATATTTGTCAATATATTTGCTTTATCTATGCATAGGAGAGAAAAAAACATCCATTCTTGACAAGAGAGATATATTTATACAGACTGAAAAAAAAATCCCCAAAACAACTCAATTTCCTGCCAAGCCTGATCTATCGACAAGCTTTGGAAAAGGTGAATTTGATTTAGTTCCATCCAAACTAAATTACTTGCAGTGCAACTGAGAAATTTGCAAGGTAAATGTAATTTATACCAAGGCAGCAAATTTTCCATTCATCATCACAGAAATTCTTTTAGAGACTTTTATCTTCAAACAGGAGCTGAACATCTGATCTCTGCAAAGTGAGTCTGACATGACTGAATAATATCGGTTGCCTACATAGTCATTTTTACATGTTAGTCTCTAAAGAAGCTTCATTTTTACAATTTGTCTAAATTACATACAAATTACTGATTTGAAGTCAAGAATTACACTGACATTCTGACCATGAATGCTAACAGACTTAGACAAACATTGTGGATTACCAATTTTCACACCAATACTTCTTTGTATTGAATCTTTATAAAAATATAGGCTTTGGTGGCATTATTTTCTCTATAACACATTTTATAGAGGAGATAAAATTCTCAGCAGTAGTTTCTTTAAAAGATTCCTATTTTCTCTTCTTTATTTTTCAGTTGATATTCAGACACAGATAGAGAAATGGGATGATGTCAGTTTTCATGGAGACAGGAGTAGCAAGGTCCACCCTTCTGCAGAGAGAACATCATCATCATCCAGAGCTCCATCAAAAGAGATTTTATGGTACAACTTTTTGCTTTCCTTAAGAAAATATTTCCAGCCCAGCTTTCTTAATTCACAGAGATGCTTTCTCTATAACAAATCATAATTTTAAACCTGTTATGGTGACACTAAATGTGTTCAAGCACATATTTTGGACAATGTATCATAAGCAAGTGCACTATAAAATGCCATTTTGCCAGCAATTTTTAATGTTGTGGAAAGTAGCAGGTGAAATGGTTTCATAAATGCTGGTGAGAATTCTACAGAAACATGCAGGGAAATCCTTTATTGTGGTGGTTGATTTTTAGACACTGACTGGGGCACAGACTTGTGTCTTTGTCTAGTCTCAGTTTCCCTATGAAATGGAAGAGTGAGAACACAAAGAAAGGTCCAGGCAATTTTGATTAAGTGTTAGTGCAAGTTAAACGGTTCAGTTGAAGGAAATGACCTGATTAATCATTGTGTGCTTGTGCACTGAAAGACACAGGGCAGCGTGTCCTAGTGCTGAGTGTGTAAATGCATTTTTCTAGGTCCACAGAAAACAGATCACAGTCTGAGCTGGCTAATGTCAAGAGTGCCTTGGACTCTGATTCAGCATCAGAATTAGAGCTTGCACCTGCAATACAGGTAAGAGGGTTTGGTAGATTTATTAACCATGAAAAGGCAAGGAGGAACTTCCCACTGGCTAACCACTGACATCCTGGGAGAACTCTTCAAGGGGTATTTCCAGGATCATCAGGGAAAATATCTTCACACACCTCTAAAATGAATAGGTTATGAAATTGAATATATCAGCACCTGAAACATTCAGAGTTTAATGCTGCAGTGAATTGTGGCCTTCCTATACAGAGGGAAAAACATCAAACTAGAATTTACAGCACCATCTTTTTTCTCCCCCCCCTCCAGCTCTGAAATTCAGACTTGTGGTGGTTCCCTACCCATGTTCAATTCCATCCTTTAGATCTCTTGGTCAGGCAGGAACCCCCAGAAGTGGGAAATTGCTGAGGAAACCAGGAAGCAATCATTACAGCAATGCTCATTAGCAGTTTATCTCCACAGGTGGGGGAGCAGTGTGGTCACAGGACTTTTTCCTGCTGGAAAAGGAACTCTAATACGGAGGGCTCTGGGCTAAAGGTTTGTAGATTTGCCCAATTCCACTGTTGTATTGTGTCTTGGACAGGTCTTGTTGGAAATCATTACTGAGGGTTGCATGTATGTGTGCACACAGTACAAACATATACAAACACATTAATATATGTATTCTGGTAGATCAGGTTGTTCACACGCCTTCTTTGCTGCTTCTTACTTTTGAACTGAAAGACTTCAGCCATTGGAAAGGGAAAGAGAGAATTTTCTGGTGGATTAGCTTTTAGTTGAAAATAATTTTCTCACCTCCCACAGCTATTTTTAGGCCTGGACTTCAAAAACCTTCTATCAGAGAGAAAATCTGGAAATTAATGAAAAATAATTGCCTCCTTTGAAAAAGGAAAAATGAAAAAAGGAGACACTACTTGCCAAACGTGTATCCTGAGATTATACCCCCTTTTTATTTTTCCCAGAAAGTAGAAACAGAACCGAGTTATCAGATCTATTTTTGTGCTTTTCTTAGGCAAAACCAAGTTCTTTACTTCCCTGCCATCTCTACATTACAAATTGGGGTGGTTTTCCCTCTGGAAAGGGTCACACTGGTTGTAATGCATATCTTTCCTTTCTCTGCAATAGATCTGTACATCTTAGTAATGGAAAATACCTGTTACACAGTGCCATCCACTTGAAATGGATGGTGTGTTCTCAGGTGCTTTCAGCTCATATTGAAGCACCTCTGACCCTCTTTTAGGAAGCTGCTCCTCAGCCCAGCAGATCTAAATTCCAGAACATTTGTGCTGAACCAGGACCTGTGTAAGTCAGGTAGACACAGGATTTAAATGCTGTGGCTTTCTGTGAAAGCAATTACAAATGCAGTGTATCCCTACTTGGTCTATATGGTCTGTTTTCTTTTTATCTTCCACTAGAATAACTGCAGAAGCAAAAATTCACATTTTTCACTCAGTTTAAGTTCAGTCAGTTGAGGCTACATAACATTTTGTAAAATGACTGTTACTTCAAAATAAAAAAAAAACAAACATGTAGTTGAATAAGCCAACTTGGAAAAAAAAATCAGAAACTAAATATCTTATCTGTTGTCTTGGTACATTTCGTGTTTTGTTTTGGTTTGTCGTAACCTGCTCGTTTCAAACTTGTCGTCCATTTAAGCAACAAAATGTTAAATTAATAATACAGAGAAGTGACCTGAAGTGAGAATGTGTTTTTATTCGAGGTAGGTTACTGGGAAATGTGGTTTTGATCACTGCCTGCTTCATCCTGCTCGTACTTGGACTGTCAGAGTTGTCAGTCCCAGCACTCAGGCTCATCTGTCTTGACCGAGTTCTTAATCTGCTTGCAGAAGAAATCACTTTAGGGCTTTGATGAAAGCATATGTTTTCCATACTTTGTCCTCTATAGGTCTTGTCTATCTCATTTAATGGTAACCTTTGCAATTGCAACACATTCTGCCATACCCTAAAGATTTCATCTTGTCAAACTTGCTGCAGTTTTCCATAAGCAGTTTCCCCATCACCTCATCACTCATCTTTGACATGTTAGATTTAGCTCCTCAAAGTGAAATGCTAAGTATCTAGGTCATATTTTCATTAAAATTATGCAATCTTCTTAACAAAATCCTTTATTTATCCTTTATTTATTCACTTGTGCCAATACAAAATCCAAAAGACAATCTTTGAACCACAAGGCAGAGATGTTTTTGAAGGCCGTAATGGGCAGTGGTCACTGGTGGCTGTCACTGGATGTGGCTTCTCAGAATTTACTCACATCATATTTTATATATTATTAACTTTTAAACTGCATTGACCCAAAGTATCCTTGTTCTTTCTTTTATCTGCCATTCTGAAAAGCCCCTTGTTATGCTTTTATTGGTACTGAGATATCCTACAGTGCTTGGAGGCAGGGGGATTTGTTATTTTTAATCTTAAAATTATAAACTGCAGAGAAAATGTTCCATTTTCTATGCATAAAGTCTGTGCATGTTTTAACTTTTTAAATATTTTCCTGGGCATTTTAAATATTTCATTGCTTGCAGAGTATACAAAACCCCTGACCTGCTAAAATTCTGTACCTAATTCTAATAAGTCAGTGCTCTTAGACAAAGGTATAGTGCAAATCTTGTAAAACTTAAAAATCTTCCGTTTGACGCAACAGTATTTAGAATTTGAAATGAATTCTCCACTTCTCCCAAATAGCTACAGAAAGACTAATGGCCCTTCCCATGGATGTGCCACTTACTCTAAGGAAATGAAGAGTTACAAGGGAGAGATTTAGCTCATTATTTGAAGACTTGATCAAAAGTTAGGACTGTAATGTAAGCCTCTCACCAACAGTTAAAGTCCAACAGCACATAACGGGAATACAAGTCGGGATGGGAGGGTTTGTCCCTGAGCACAGAAGCCATGATCAGCTGCATTGTGGAGAGGTGATTATCAAACCTGTGTGCAGGGCCCAGCCCTGGACACAGCCTGGCTCACCTGGGGGGCTCCCTTGGGGAAAGCAGCTGCAGAACCCCACCCCATCCCCTCCTGAAGCTCTCCAGGGATGCCCCTTCACTCCCACCCCCTCTCCCTGGACCAACAAAAAGCAGCGAGTTTGGGGCTTTCCAAGGGGCTCTTTGTTTCTGTCACAACCACAGTGCAACTCTGCATTGTCTGTGTGCAAATGCAGCCCCCGTGGCTTTGTTAATGTTCATTTAACGGAGGGGAAAGCATTTTTCTGCGTGGATAATGTGGGGACAGACTGTCATGTGGCAGAGGAGGGACCTCTGTGCTCCTGGTCCTCTGCCCCCTCACCTCTGTGCTGCCCCTCGGAGCTCGCTCTGCCCTTCTGCAGTGCAGCTCAGTCTGAGCACCCTCGTTCACAGCATTGTCCTTGACCTAAAGAAAGCCACTCACTGGAAACAAATGGGTAAAAAGCAGAAGTAATCAAACTGTTTGCAGGAGCCAAGTCATAAATAATGAAAAGGCCAGGAACATAATTAGAGCCTATCAATAGAGTCCTGTGTCAAGAAAAACAAATTTAATTCTTTGATCGGATTACAGGTCGAGTTGATAAATGTTGATGTGTGAGATTCTACAAGAGTTTTGAATTAATATGTCATATTCTGATTGTAAAACTGGCACAACACAATGTGAATGAAGCAGTTGTTAAACAGATTAAAACTGGCCAACCTGAGGTCTCAGGAGCAGTAGTTATTTACTAGGGATTGTAATCACACAGGGATTGTTCTGGGATTCCAAAGACAAACAATGTTCTTCAGTTTTATTGATCTGAAAATAAACATGCAACCAAATTCCTCAGAGAATTTCCATATGATGCAACAGTGGAATAAAAAAAAAAAAAAAAGAAAAAGAAAATAAGGGATATGTAAAAAGGAACTGGTGATCAAGGCAACTGTATAAATACATATTGCAATGCAGTCCCTTGGAAAATCACACATTTCAGAGCAAGAACACAGGCTCTGCTTACAACACCGTGCTGGAAGGCAGTTTGAAACAACAATTGTGCTCCCTGTGCACTACTGGGGGAAGAAGAGTGTGTAGAAGCAAACATCATTAGTGGGAGACCTGATTTCTGCATAGAGAAGCAGCAAGACAGGTGCTGGAATAAAGGGCTCACTTGGTTGTCTGTATTGCTATAGAAAATTAACAGAGGGAGTAAAAGTGACACAAAAAGGTTACAATCTGAATGTTTCATATTGAGAATATTTAATATTTTGATGTTTTCATATAATTGTCTTTATATCACTAAAAACTGATTAAAATTATCAGTATCTTGCTACAGAGAAAATAGGGAGTATTAAAAAGTATGAAAAAGAAAGAATACAGGGAAACTGAAATTAAAATTAATAAGAGAAACAAGGAGGGCAGTTAAACAAATTGCAAACAAAGTAATGACATTAAGGTCTCTTGATAACTTCAAATTAAACCCAAGCAGCTTCCTCAAAGACATTTATCCCAGACAACCTCAGTTTATTCTCTGAAGAACATCATTTTGTTTCCATAGGTGTTGAGAGACAAATGCCATCATGTGATACACAGACAAATGAATGATCTGAACCAGTTATCTCTTCTGCCCTAAATTCTATTACTCAGTAAAAGCACTGTTTTATGTATAGGCTTTTGGTTTGTTTTCAATAACAACCTGAAATATCTTCCGCGCCTCACCAAAGGAAAATAGTATTTTCCAAGTATGGACTGGAGGTATAAGATGTGAAAGCAGAAATAGATCCTCAGTGTGGACATTCCCCCACACTCTGAGCCAGAGAGAGTCCAGAGGCCAGAACAGGAGAGCACTCACAGTGCCCACACCACCACGAGCTTCTCACAGGAATTGTGCTGTGTCCTTGTTTTCTTACCTCATGTGTTTCATCCACTCAATGTGCATTTCACTCATCACTCTAAACTGAGAGACCAAAGCCTCAGGAACAAAAGAGAAAACCTAGGGCTCGTTTAGCAAATGAATGTCATCTTTGTAGGAAAAAATCCATGTGTGTACAAGCACAGAGAAATGTGTTTGACCGTGTCAGATGTGAGTGTCAGATGTTCCATCCCAGCAGTGCCCAATCCAACATTTGCAGAGAGAGCCCAATGAGTCTGATGTGATCAAAATTAGTCTTTTAGCAGTGTGGTTCACAGAAATGTAATATTACAAGTACAGTCATCAGAAATATAATCAAGGAAATTAATGCAATTGGAAGCACGGGCACACAAGTGGCTAATGAGTTTAACCTCTTGACAAACACTAAGGAAGGGATTAGCAGTCAGAGCCTTGTTTAGCAAGATTAGGCCACTTTGTGCTTTTTCTGCCATCCTTAAATATTGTTTGGTTTTGTACAGTGCTTTTTGTAAAAAAACAAAACAAAACCAAAAAAAACCAAACAAAACATTGTTTTTAGAAAAAGAACAGGGAAAAAGTTATTATGTGCTTCCAGTGGGATTGACCAATACAGAAGAGAGATGCTGATTGTAAAAAGGATTTGCCCTTCCAGTGATATCCAGGGCAAACCTGGCTCTCCAATGTGATTCCAGAAGAAAACCTGAAAGAAAACCACAAAAATGTGCAGGGAAAAAAAAATATTTTCTTCCTGGCTCATAGCCAGTGGAAAGCATTGCCACAGTCACAGTGCAGAAGGAACAAGGAAGGTACAAGTCTTATACAATATAGTCAGCTCTCTCCTTTTGTAGTCCAACCCTTGCTTTGCCTTTTCTTGTATGTCTCTTTCACACATCTTGAGTGAAATGAAAAATCTGGAAAAGATAAATTACTCTGCTTCCCGTGAGAAGTGGTCTCTGCTACAGTGTAAGACAATTCAGAGGAATTCATGCAGGGAAAGAAGTAGTTTTCCCCAAGAAAAAAACAATTTGAGGCTCTAGACAATTAAGGAAATAACTCAGAAGTGTGACAGAGGGTCTATCATCCCTTTCTGATTTATTCTTTTATTTTTTAGGCACGGTCAAGTAAGGAGCAGCGTTGGGGAACACCTCTTCTCTCCAGAAATCACTCCTTGGAGGAGGAATTTGAAAGAGCAAAGGCAGCTGTTGAGGTATTATTTCATTTACTGTTTTCATTTTCAGCTGTTGTTCTACAGATTTCTTTTTTCATCTTGCAGCACAAGCAGAAGAGAGAGTTGGAATTGGATTATTTAAAACAGAGAAAAGATGCAATTCATGGAGCTATTAATTTAAAATAGCAGCTTGTCTCTTTTAAAAAATGAAATTCAAAACACTTCGCTATAAAAAAACATTACAGAGATTTTAAGCTAGATTTTTATTGCTAAAGCAAATGGGTAAATTCCCCATAAATGTAGCTAATTCCAAACCACAAGTTAAAGAGGGAATTGTGTGCCATCAGTTCTTTACACCCAGACACAAACCAAGCCTCTCCTGTGAAAGCAGAGCTCAGAAGCACTGATGAACAGCACAATTACCTGCTGTAAAGCAGAGCTGTGCACAAGCACCAACCATGCACCATTTTCACATTTTTACAACCAGTGGCAGAATGCTTAGCACAGGAGTATTCTTGTTTCCTGGTAAATCTATTTGGTTTGAAAAGACAGAAGTATTTGGATAGTTGTCCTATTGCACTTCTGGGGTTTTTTTCAGTGACTTCTGCATTTCTAACATCTAAAACATCTTTTGAGTGTTGTCCTATACCACTAGTCCAAATTGATCCTGTCTGGACACAAAGTACAGCACAGATTTTTTAGCAGAACTCCACAAAAAATTAGATATAAGCATTGGTCTGGAGCATCATTATCTTCATTGTCTTCTCAGGGGTTCCATGGGCAACCCTTCAAAATCCCATCACCACAAAGAGCCAAGACAGCTCCATTCCAGCAAGGACAGAATTTCAGGCTAAATTATGTAACAGCCACTGAAATGAGTTCTTAGGGTGCAGAGGATGAAGCTGTGAAACTAGTTCCTCAAAACAGGTTATTTTTAGCATTTTCAGCACTGCAGGCTCATTAGTCTCCAAACCATCTAGAACACTTTAGGGATGTTTGAGTTTAGATTTAAATTTTAGTCATGTATTTTAATATTCTTCTAACTCAAGCTATAGACCACTCTAATTCCAGTGCTGACAGTTGAACAATTCTAGATTAATAGTGGCTGATGAGAAACAGAACTATGCCTAAGTCTGATACTGGCTTCTAGCTAGAAAGATAATTTCTTGTTGAAGTAATTAATCTGATTTGTAGGGGTTTTTTTCATGATATGCTATGGTAAGATGAAGGGTTTCTGCCGTGGTTTCTTGGGATTTTATTGCACACACAAACAAAAATCTGGTCTCAGCATACAAAGCTAAAATGGACAAAATCAGTAAATTAGCTCTTTCCTAAACCAAGCATGGAAGGCATTTTTTATTTCTACATCAAATAAATTCTTCATCAACAACTGCTGCCGAGGCACAGGAGATGTTTCTGGTGTCACACATCACACAGACATTTGCTCCTGGCAGGAAAGGAGGGAACTTGCTTTAGATTGCCACTGCTGGAAATGCTTTAGGTGTTCCTGCTTGCTGATCCTCAGGGTGGCTGTGCTGAGCCATGACCTGGGAAGGCAGCACAGGGAATCTCCTGTTGAACGTCTCAGTGCTGATGCCAGTTCTCCTGCAATTGCCAGAAACTTGTGTGATGGGGAGTTCCAGACACTCAGCAGAAAGAAAAATGAGTTGAGTCCAACAACAGATTACAAGACATTACTGAATTACTGTGCAGAGTAAAGTAAGGAGGAGAATATATTGTAAAAAAACCCCCAAAACCCTACAGACTAAAAGGTCATTCTGAGGCAACAGAGACAGGTTGTTACAATACTTTAAAATACTCTCAAAAATGGCTATTAAAAGGAATCAAATTAAATGTTTCCCCAACTGTAGCTGGCAGCCTTAAGTTATTCTTTCTGCTTAAAATAGAACCTTGGGCTAGGTAGTTAAAATATAAAGGAAAGGAGTCTTCAAGACCTTACAGTGCAGTTATTCCATTTGCATATGAAAAGAGCTGAATTTTCATCCTAGCTGAAATGAAGTAGTAAGAAAGCTGGAGTGATTGAAATAAATTGGAGCCCATCTCAGAAAGATTAGTGCTTTCTTAAGCAGAAAATAGATACAGGTCAAAAATTCATCTTTTAGGCTTTGGATGTTTCTGTAATATTCTTTGTTTGGGACAGATCCAAGTGGAAAGATTAGCCAGAAAACTGATCAAGAAAAGGAAGTAAATCTCAGGTTCTTGGTGGCCTAGTTCGAAAGGAATTAATTAACAATTCAGTAAATGAAGACACCAAACTTTATCCTCCACCCAGTATTCACCTCAGCGCTTTGGGAATGGTTTTAAGATGTCAAACTTTGAGATTAATGAAGATTTGTGAGGTAATTCCTTCTTAAGAAGGTTTAAAGATGTCTATGCCATTGGGAAATCTTTTAAGAATAAAGTAAAATAGCTTTTTTCCTAGAGAGGGTCCAGATTCCCTTGCAGTGTTTGGGTGCTTGCAGACCTTGCTACCTTTTCTTTTACTTTTGAAATTAGATTTGATCTTTGCCTCATGATTTTTTGTCTCATTATTTTTCAAGTGCCATAAGAACTATGTTTTAACACAATCCTTCCGATAATTAGCTCTGTTTCATCAAAAATTTGTATTTTTGAATTTTTTTAAAATGCCAGAATGGTGTTTCAGATCCATCCTGTACTCATATTCCATTAAAACAATTGTTTTATCAACCACCATCCTGCTGGTGATGAGTTAAAATAAATAAAAATAAAAGCAAGAAGGTGCAAAAACTTCCAACTGAAAAGTCTCAGAGATGGGAAAAAAGCTGTTTTGCTATTTTCTTCTTCCACATTTCTCTGATTAAGCTGCAGATGCCACACTGTTTTGTGAGCTTATGCATAAGAAATTTTGAGCTGTCCTTCCCAGCACCATTTTATTTACAACACAATGTCACATGAACCATCTGCTGTATAATGTACGGCTTTGAAGCATCAGAGCACATTACAGCTAAATTATGTGACAATAGGAGGAAAAAGATGGGATTAATTTGTTCTAGCCTAGGAAAATGTATTCCAGGACCATCAGCTTTGTGGTTCCCATGAGCACTGGTTGGATCCTTTCTGTACCTACAATATCCCTGTCTCACTATTTAAACATTTCTTTGGATGGGCCTAAAACTGGCCAAACCATAGGTTAAATTAGGAACCAGGAACTTGAGTCATTCAGATGCATTTTATTTGAAACTCTTTCAAAACACAGTGGGAATCTTTACCTTGATAAACATTTTTTATCTCTAAACTTCAGTAAAATTTTCAGATTTTGTTTCAAGAAGATATCAGCTAAGGAAACCTTACCACAAGTTTAATTTACTGTGTTTTTCATATCAAAGAGTATGGTAATGCAGTAACTCAGAGAACAATTACAGAACCTTGCTTATGCATTGGTCAATAAGGAACGTTTCAAATTAATTTTTGGCAATACAGGACAGACAAAATTCTAGAAGTTATGACAATAGGTAAATTTATAAATACTTCCCCTGCCCCCTTTCATTGGATCATAGGAAATAAAGAGCCTGGGAATATTTTGCCTCCCATTTGTTTAACTGCTTCAGCATATTTTTAAATACTAAGAGTAAAAATAGCCTCTTTGACAAAATGCAGAATTTTCTTCTTGGAAGAAGTCAGATGGTATGAACATTTTTTCTGGTTGTCATTCCTCTAAACTGCTGCAGATGATCTGAGAATGTGTTAAATGTGTTCAACTGGGCTGAAAACTCTTGGTTTATCCAAAGTATTTCACCAGCCTTAAGGTGGCAAAACCATTGAAATGAGGTTAATTGGCACTGGTGGTGTAGCAAATAGAGCTAAAATTAGACCTAGGAGCCTTGATCCAAAGCCAGGTTTTCAGAAAGGCTCAATATTAATTTAACCCTCCTGCCACTGAAATAAATGAAAAAATCGCTACTGATGGCAGCTGAAATAGACTTAGGCCTTCAGCAGAGACTGAAATATTTCCAATATTTAAATGTGTGTAATATTTACAGTTCTCTTCCTCAAGGAAGAGCACTGAGCTGCTCTGCTGCTGACACTGGCACCCCAGAGCCTGGTCCAGGTGCTCGGGGCAGCTTTGCTGTGGCAGTGTCAGAATCCCCTCGTGCTGAAAATCCTCAGAATTCTGCCCAAACCTTTCTCAGCACTGCAAAATGACTCTGGGTCCTGTGTCCAAGGAGGGCAGGATGAGCTGGGAGGGATTATAGCAAAGCTGCTCTCCTCCTCATTGCATTCCCCCCTCCTTTGACTCTGTAAATGGAAATTATGGGGGGCTACTTGAGTGCACAGTAATTCACTGGATTTTTACATGGACTGCAAACACAGTGAACTTCTGTGAGAATTATAAATATATCATTAAATGGCAGAATTTGAATTTAAGACCTAAATCCACTTGCTTACTATCTGCAGAAATATGATGTTTCCACACCATTGATTTTTGTGGGAAAAATGCAAGCAAAAAATCTAATATAAATATGATACATATATATGATTATTTCTATAAATTAATCTGGCTAAATAGGGTCATTACTAATCAGTTTTCAGTAGTTTTATTAATTTTAATCTGAAGGAAAGAGAAATTTCCACATTTTTACCTCATGCTGAATCTCAAAATTACTGCTAGTTAAAACATGATGGCATAATTTTTATTTCAGTGCTGGGCAGATTTGTGCTGAATGAGAAGCAGTTGATGCAGGCATCTGTTGAGCAGGATCTTTTTGGGGATTCAATTGCCTCTGGTCATGGCTGACAAGAGTTAAAGAGGCAGTGATATGATTCAATATCCCAGCCTTTTCAAACCCTAAATGGACACTTCAGTACAATCTCACAACTCTTTATATGAAAGTATTTTCTTCAAGTCTGGAATGAGAGCAAATTGTGAAGTGGTGCAACAGAGTGGTCAGGGGCAGTTCACTGCTGTTACCTGCAGTGAAATCTCCTCTCCAAGGGTGAATCATTCCCAGTTTATTTCCTTTTGCACAGAGGAACATAGCAGATACCTTCACAGATCCAAAAACTGCATGATTCAGACAATCCTGAATTTCTTCCAGAATGAAGGACAGTATACTTTCCTTTTCCCCAGCACCTAAGCAGGGTTGCAGCAAGCCATGCAATCACAAACAGTCTAAGCTCTGTTTTTCCAATCATGCCTGGCTGTGGAGCTGCACCAAAGCTGTCAGCCTTATAACAAAGACTCACACAAAACTATCTGGACCAGTTCATAAAACCTTCAATCCATTTTGATTAGCACCTTGCTCTCAAATGGTTCTGTCTAAATCTCAGTAGATTTATTTGTGCTGTTATCTTTGATATAAATAACTGTGCCCCCAGTGCTGTCAGCTCACTGAAACACTGGCCATGTCCTTGTAGGAACTAGAGAATTTTGGAAAGGTTTGTAGTGCTCTGCAAATACTCTGCTATGGATCTCCTTCTCAGAGTCCCATGACTAGTGTGTGGAGGCTGAAAAAGTAGCACCTTAATTTGGCTTCTCCCCTTCTATAATTCTATTTCTGTTTCTTGGCATCATTTCCTAGTAGCCACAGTTGTTCCCTCCTTCTGCTCGTTGCTAATCTCATTCGTTGTCCTAAATCTCATCTGTTTTTCATAATTTCTCCTTCCCTTGTATGTGCATTTTCCCTCTTCTTTGAGCTGAATATTAATCTTACTGTGTGATTCTACAATCTCTTGTAGATTCCTCTCACCATAGAGTATACAATGCAGTATTAAGATTTCTCCACTATGTCAAAAAGCCCAATTTGTATTACATCCCTTGCACAAACACCCTCCGTCTAGGCTTTGGCATTTCTCTTTCTCACAGCTGAAAATTATGCTGAATATACCAAAGTAATCAATGCTTGCTCTCTTTCAAACTGTTTTATCTATTGTTATTCTTTTGCATATGCACTTAGTTGATTTTTCTTTTTGTTTTTTTCTTTTTTTTTTTCTTTGTCCAGGGACTTGCAGCACTGATTGCCTTCAACTTTTATGTAACAATTTGCTGTTAGCATCAATGAGATGCAGTGTAAGCTGCTGCAAATCCTGCTTCAAACAGGACATACACTGCCTCTGAGATAAAGAGTGTTCTGTTGACAAAACACATTCCAGTATATGACATTTAATTATATGGAATTCCAAACAGGAGCTGTAGTATTTCAGTCCATGTGATTATTAATAGAACTAATACTGCTCAGCAAAATTGACTCTCAGACCACTGATAGAAAGAAATTTATTTTTTTTAAACAAAAACCATTATTTTAAAGTTTTGTTGTTAATTTTCTCTTTTCCTCCTTTTCTTCTAGTCTGACACAGAGTTTTGGGATAAAATGCAAGCAGAATGGGAAGAAATGGCTCGCAGAAACTGGATTTCAGAGAACCAGGAAGCACCAGGGCAGGTCACCATCTCAACCATCGAGAAGGTAACACCAGGTTTTTATTTGAGCGCATCCCCCCTGTGCAGCTTCGAGGTGAGCCTCAGCTCTTCCAGGGAACCCAAGAACTCTTTGGAAGCTAATTGTACCCCAAAGAGCTCATCCTCTCTGATTGCCTGTGGGTGGGGCAGATTTGGAAGACGTTGCCACAGTGAGAACAGGTTTAGGCTTGCACACAGCCTAAATTCAGCTGAAAGGATCACAGAGCAGCTGCTGGATTTATGAGCACTTCTGAAGACAAGCACTTAAGGAAAAGCACCAAATAAAAATACCCGGGACAGCACATTCAAACACTGTTGAGGATGGAAATTATGACAATTCCATTTCCGTTCTTAATTCCTTCCACTCCATATTTAATTTTATGTCTCTTATGTAGCTGATCTTACCACACACCCTTTACACTGCAGTGACAAGAGAAAAAGGCAAAACTTAAAGGAATACTAAAGGAATACTAAAATAAACTCAGGTGCAGCACTGTTGTGTATCTGGAAGATTAATTGAGGATTTCAGGATTTTAACTGAGCAGCTGTGAGGTTCTGAGCACTGCAGGGATTCAGCTGCTTGGTGTGTTCTTTACCACCACTTTGGGTGTCCCGGGCTCTGAGGTTCAGCTCTGCTCTTACTCAGGCACTGTGAGCTGTTGACATTACCCCTGATGGAGAGCCCAGCATAAATACCACTAGGTACAACTTCAGAGCTAAAGTAAAAATAAAGTAAAAGAGCAGAAACATAAATGCCTGGTTATGTGACTTTTTACACTTTCTGTCATTGAAATTCCACGGGGGGAGCTCGTGCCATTTCCAGGGAGCAAAGGTTGTTTGGAAAACAATGAGTCACTGCATTTTTTAGACTTGCCATTCCCTGCAACTTGCCATTCATCACGGGTCCATTATCTCTCTGCTCCAGGGTTATTATTTCCACACTGACAATCCCTTCAAAGACTGGCCTGGTGCTTTTGAGGAAGGGCTGAAAAAAATGAAGGAAGGTGACCTGCCCGTTACAATCTTGTACCTGGAGGCTGCAATTCTCCAAGAGCCCAACGATGCTGAGGTATTCACTGCTGTGCCTTCCCCTGGCAAAGGAAAAGGGAACTCCCTGCACCATGGAGTGAGGGAATGATTTCTGGGCTCAAACCTCTGCCAGGCATGGCTGACTGAAACACTGGATTCCAAGGGTTATGAATTAGTGTGTGCCTTTAAAGAGATAACAAGGAGTTCTTCACAGGATGAGAATCTGGTTTTGAAATATTGTTTTTTGAAGTATTTCAGACCTTCCCTTCACATCCCGATATTTTCAAACTAACTTGTAAACTGCTATCAAAAGATGCATATTTTTGATTTGACAAGACTGTTGAAAAAATGTTAAAGTTATATAAATTTCTTCAATGTTGCTGTTTTCAACTAGATTATATTTAAAGCCTGTTTTTTTTGTGAAATGTCAAAAATATTTATGCTGTATCTAGGGCTCTTTGAATCTCCTCCTACATTAAATTAAACAGCATACTTCAAAAAATCAGAGAATCCCAAGCTCCCTAGAAACCCCTAATACATATATACACATATAATATTTATATAATAACCCCCTGTATATAATATACAATTAAATAATTCTTCTTCTCTATTTTCCATTAATTTGTAGCAAAATATAAAATGTACAGTAACTCAAATTTAAGAAATCATCATGTGATTATACACTGACAGAAGACCCACAGTGCTGGACATATCTGCTGCTTTTCCTCACTCCTGTGTTTATTGGTTGTAACTCTGTTTGCAGTTGGATATATGTAACAAACTAAATTATTATTTTTGCAGGCCTGGCAGTTCCTGGGTATAACACAGGCAGAAAATGAAAATGAGCAGGCAGCCATCGTGGCCCTCCAAAGGTAGAGGGAGATCACTCCTAAATCTGGGCTCTGATTAGTGTTGGGTAATGGAGACCTGGGGATATTTAATGTCATTCCTGCCTTGGAATGAGAAGAATTTGTTTAGCAGAGTAGAGCATTGACACAGTTATAGAAACTCCCAGTGACTTCAGAGGGATGACTAGTTTTTAATATTTCTGTTTTATTAAATAAGTGAAATATTTCATGGAGTAATTTAAGTATATACACAAAAGAAAAGTTATATTGCCTAATAAATACAAGTTAGCCATGATGCAAATGAAGTGCCTCTTTTACATTCCAGCCACTTGACATATTTTCTGTAGTCTGTCCTTTAATGAAGAGGTTTTCTTAATTGGAGTGAGCTCCCTTCAGCTGCTGAATGCTAAACTGCCAACAGTTTTAGGTCGATGGAGATGTGAAGATCACAGAATTCTTGTACATAAAATGTGAGCTCCAAAATATCAGCATTATTACTATTATTATCTTTCTGTAATGGGTTTTTATGTTTCCATTTGAAGTAATATTCAATTGCATCAGCACTGATAACCATGAAGTTATTTCACCTAAGGATACTCAAACTTGTTTATAAGTCCTTTATTGGCTTACCTGGATAGAAATCCAAGGCATTGCCTGATTTAGGAGCTTGCTCATCCCCAGTTTTCAAAAGAACAACACTGATGATTGTGATTTTCTTCACATGGATTACTTTGGAACAATTCAAACATTGTGCTTGGCTGAAGAAATATCTCAATATATATTTTCTATTCTGCCTAGGTGCTTGGAACTGCAGCCAAACAACCTGAAAGCTCTGATGGCCCTGGCTGTGAGTTACACCAACACTGGCCATCAACAAGAAGCCTATCAAGCCCTGAGAAACTGGATAAAGCAAAATCCAAAATACAAGTACATAGTGAGGAGCAAAAAAGGGTCCCCAGCACTTACAAGGAGGATGTCTAAGACAGCAGATGAAAGGTAAATGCAGTGGTTATCTTCATTTAATGACTGAATGCTTTATCTTTTATGCCATTCCTGGAAGTGAAAGAAAACTGATAATGAAAAAAAACCAAGCCCAGCTAAAAAAGGATGGATCTCCTCAACTCCCATCACTTTCCTCCATTCCTGTCTCGTCTTTCTATTCCCACGTCCTCACCCTCATCCTTCAGCTGCTTCCACATCCATCAAAGCCTTTCTCCAGCTCTACATGTGTGTGTTTTTCCTACTGTTCACTGTTCCTGCTGTTTCCCATACCCCAGCCCAGCAGAATCCAGGAATGAGCCATTTTGCAGTGCAACATGAGCTCTCTGAGAATGCTGGGAGGTGGCTCCTGCTTGTTAGAAAGCTGTTGTGGTTCTAACCAAGAGACAACACAGCCATTTGATTTATCTTGGCCATCTTAATAACAAAAAAATCATGATTTGGCAGCCCTTCATCATGATTTCATGAGGACAATAAACAAGTACCTCTGGACTGTGAGATGCATAATAAAGTCATTAAAGGCATAAACATGATTTAGAGAACCAAACCACTCAGGCTATCTCACTGCTTGTCATTTTGAAGACAGGCCTTATGTTTTACCCTCATCACTTACAAGTCCTGGGTTGACAAGATAATTTCGTATGAGCAAAAATAAAATATGCAGGTTCTGCTTAATTGCTAAGTGTGTTATTCTACTTTGGCTTCATCCTGCTGACATCTGGTGCTGTCAGTGCAAAGGTTTTAAGAAGCTACAGTGGGCACAGAAGTCTTATGTTTTGGCATCTTTCTTCAAGGGTCTTGGCTGGTCCCTTATGTGTTCCTCTTAAAAATTCTACTATTTTTGCCAGTAAAGGAATGCTTTATGTCTGAGAAACTCATGTAATTTGAATAATTTTAATAAACCTTCATATCATTCCACTTGGGCTCACGGCTGCAATTTGACCTCATTTCATGGATGAACTTTTTTTATTTCAGACGTGAGTTTACAACAGCACCCTGAAGTAAACCTTTGCCATGATGAAGAAGCTCATTCACAAATATTAGGAGTATAACACTTCTGATAAATCCACTATGAAGATTTTCATTTCAGTCTATGCAATCAACATTGAAATGTTTGTAAATAACTGTATGATGGATCTTTAAGTTATTTTTCTCCCTTGTCTAGCTCATTACTCGAAGAAGTAAAGGATTTGTACCTGGAGGCTGCTCACCAGAATGGTGATATGATAGACCCTGACCTGCAGACAGGACTTGGGGTTCTTTTTCACCTGAATGGAGAATTTAACAGAGCAATAGATGCATTTAGTGCTGCTTTAACTGTTCGACCAGAGGTACATTTTAAACTTTTACATTTTCTTAAATTTAGCTTTACAGTCCATTTCCTTTTTCCTGTCTAGATCAGACTATTATTAATGACATGCCACTTCTGCCATTAAAATTTTAAGACCCAAAATAGACATGTTAATTACAAGACATAATTAACATTGTAATTCTTCTGTTTGGAAGCAGATTTGTGCATGCCCAGTTCCTACCTGTGTGCTGATTAATGGTATTAAATACATAAAGTCACTTTTGATCACGAGTCAGACCCTCACATTCCTTGTCAATTAAGATACAACATTACTATTTTATGCAGTCCTCTTTCCTTTGCAAGCAAAAATGAGACATTATGTCTGGTTTTTGACACCTGGAATAGAAAAACTCATTTTCTCACCAGGACTACACGTTGTGGAACCGCCTTGGGGCAACCTTGGCCAACGGGGACCGCAGTGAGGAGGCTGTGGAGGCTTACACACGAGCTCTGGAAATCCAGCCTGGCTTCATCAGGTCCAGGTACAACCTGGGCATAAGCTGCATCAACCTAGGGGCATACAGGTGAGCACAAAAGATGTGTGAACAAAAAGTCAGGCATCACAACTGCCGGGTGAAGATTCGTTTTCAAGCTGGAGGTATCTAAGAATAAAATAGTCAGAATATAGCTGCATAATATCAGCTATTGTAAAATGTTGTCATAACTTTTTGCAAAGGACTAAAAAGCAGTTTTGTAGCTCTAAGTGCAAGTGCTCTTATAATCAGTGGGACTGTTCTTGCACTTGAAATAGTCCTGCTCTTAAGAGCTTCTGTAAAAGAAAATGTAAGAGCTTGTCTTTTAAAGGGAAACTTGAGTTAAACTGCTTCAAGTAGTTCATGCCATCAAAAACATCCTTCAAGAATGAAAGTGATATTCCAGGAGATATTCCAGGGTCTCAGCTGTCAGGGAAAAACAGGGAAGATGAAGAGGAGCTTTGCTGCAATGAACCCCCAAATGTTTGGGTAGACTGAGTTTTGTGTTATCCCAAGCCATGCCCTCCTGCCTGATGAAAATCAAGCAAGAACAACATTATTTTATTATTTATAATGTATTATTTTACATTGTAAAATAGTGTATTTAAGCCTGGCATGGAACTTTAGAAAGTTTGCCTGCAGTTGTTAAACAAATTATAATGATTGTTTCTTTTTATTTCTTCCCTGCAGAGAGGCTGTCAGCAACTTCCTCACTGCTCTCAGTTTGCAAAGGAAAAGCAGGAATCAGCAGCAAGTTCCCCACCCTGCTCTGTCAGGCAATATTTGGGCAGCACTTCGGATTGCTCTGTCTATGATGGACCAGCCAGAACTATTCCAAGCTGCCAATGTGGGTGATCTAGACATTCTCTTAAGAGCTTTTAATCTAGAGCCGTAATAAAAAGGATTCAAAAATTTATTGAATTGTATTAGGAAACAGAGAACTTTTTTATTACTCATCCCCAAATGACCACATTTTCCAAAAGATCATGACTGTAGATCAGTAGGGGAATTCCTTCAGGCATTATTCATAAAGGGAAAGTTCAAAAGCACAAAAATAGTGTAAATAAATTCAAACTCAAAGGGTTGAAATGAGCTGTGGCTAATCGGACAAAGCCCTGAACTAGACAAAATAGCAATTTCTGAAGAATCTCCATCCCATGCAAGCTATATCTCTCTATATACACACAGCTGTAAAAAGAAAAGCATCTTAAGAAGAAACCTAGATAATGGTTATTGCACCTTAGAATGGCAAGCAGTGCATCCAAGGAACCTGCTTAGTGGCTCATTGCACTATGCTGACACCACTTTGCCCCACAGTGGGGATTCCCTGTCCTTTGGTTTCTTTGATGAAAAATCTTCCCAAGGTCCATTTTTAACACAGCTCTGAAAATAGATGCATGTAAAAGGGATGTTTTTTGTCTTGAATGTATTTATTAGCTGGCAATCAGTTTTTTGCTTCCAAAGGTACCTGGATTAATTTGGGCCCAGCTCTGCAGGCTCATAAAGCCATGTGCAGTGTCAGGAGGAACACAGTCCATGCAGGGCTATGGGGTGAGGCCAGGTACATTTGGGGAAGCCAAGTGTTGCCAGCAGAAGAGGCAATTTGCACTGGAACTGTTGCTGTTCAAACCAGCTGTCCTTGATCTGGGACAGTCTGGAGGAGCTCATGGCAGGGTCTGCACCTTTCTGTGTACTTATGCACTTTAACCTTTCTTTTTGTAAAATAGTGCTATGCTTTTGTTTTAGTCACCAACAATGGAATGTACAGGATGGCCTTGTTGGCAGAAAGGACCAAATATAATTGCCTGAAATGTAATGAGAGGGTTTTCAATATTTTTCTGTTTAAAAATGCAAATACAGTGTAAACTGCATTAACAACTAGCAAGATTATTATGTGCATCCATCAGGTACTACACGTATACATGCATGTGCATGCACATACATGTTGTATGTAAATGATGTCATTTCAGAACATAGCAAGCTACAGATCTTCATTGCACACAAATAAAAATATTTGTGGGAATTACTGCCTGCAGACCATGCTCAAGGGAAAACTTTCCCTAAAGAAATTGGTCTGTACAATGCTGGTAGGATTGAGGCCAAGTCTTGATCCTGCTGTTATGGCAAACAGCAGCAAAAGTCTCCACAACCTCCATGATAGCAGAGAAAATCCTTAGGTAACACCAGTATGTGTTGCTGCTCACAAAAGTGTGTATAAACACACTGTTTTCATTTTGCCTGGCTGCATGAATGGGGAGCAGGGCTGGGGCAGTACCAATCCCTGATGAATGGATTGATTCAGCTACAATCAAACACATTTAGCTCAGGGTGAATGTGTCAATCAAAGAAAGCAGAGAATTTTTTAGGAGGTGATTTTCAGTTGCTGATATTTTAAATATTTTTCCTGAATAGCGAAAGATAAAAAGTGTTATTAGATGTGTTGATCTGTGGTCAGGATTTCAATTTGCAGAGTAGCTACTAGAATGTGTTAAAGTGGGATAAATAGCACATTTCCTATAAACATTAGAAGAAAAATCCAGCTCAGAGGGATAAAAAAAGAAATCCAACTGCACAGATCACAAAGATGCTATGTGGGAGTTGGACAGTTTCACCAGTACAAACCTAAAGTTTCTTGCAGCTGTCTGTTATTTTGAGCAACCACTTAAAGGAAAATTCCATGTAAGACAGTGTAAGCACTGCATCTAATCACCATCTATAGGTTGTTAAATGAAAATAGAAAAATAAAAGGCTTACCCCTCACTCTCTCCCACTGAGCAGAGATGTCGAAACAGCTACCAAAATTTTTAAGAATGCTTTATCAATTCCTTGTTTACACATATATTCCTGTTTATCTATCAGGTGTTTCATAACTGATTCCTGCAGCTTTCTCTAAGGATGGGTCTGCCTGGGAATGTCACTTTGGCTAAGTGGGCTGCTGTATGCATATCTGCTGACAACAGTTTGCTCTTTTGCTTTGACAGAGATGTGTGATGACAGCTCTTTATTGATAAGGCAGAGCAGAAGGTGCAGTGCAATTGAATCTGGGAAGTGATAAGAGAGAAGGGAGGCAGCTTTGAGAAGAGGCTGTAAAGCAAAGGCATATGTGCTTAGGTTTGCCTTGATGCCCTGCCATCACACAAGCTCTTCTAGGATATCCTTTGTGCTGGGGTGCAGGATAATCAGTGCTTGTGCAGAGGAATTAGCTGTTCAGGGACTTTATTTTTACATCTTTGGAATTAACAAAAAAAAAGTATTTCTCAGAGTCAGAATGACAAGGGGTATTTGATCCTCATGGCAGTTCACTAAACATGGGTAACACAGAAATCATTAGGAAAACTTTATGCAAATCCAAGCCTCTCCAAAAAGAACAAACTAAGTAGGTAGCTTTTGGTTTATCCTGGGATGCACTGCTCAAAACTACATTTCTCTGCTGACATATTTCCACACCCATGGGACTGGCAGGAGCTGTGTGTGTAACCTTGAGCCAACTCAGCAGGACTCTGCCCTGCCAGGCAGGCTCAGCCCCAGCCCAGCCCAGCTCTGCTGTACAGGACATGGGCTGCAAAGCCTGGCCAAAGAGGTGCACAGCCTGCAGAGCTGATCCCAGCTGCCCTCTCTGTTGTAGCTAGCCTATGGCCAGTCAAACATGTGCCACTGACAGAGCCTAAAGCAGGGCAGGGGACAGAGGACAGGGGCACATCTCACACAGTTCTGGGCTGGCCAGTGTGGGGAGTGGCCAGAGACTGAGCTCACCTCACTCTAACAGGCCAGGCCCAGCAACTCTTGGGATTTCTGGGCACTTCCTAAGGATCCTGGGCTTTATCATCCTCCTTTAGCCCCCTCTGCCAAGAACTGTCAGCGCAGCAGACAGGATTAGGTACAGCTTTGAGCTGACCTCCCCTTGGCTTTCCTTAAATATTCAGGACAAGTTTGTATATTTGCCTGAAACAGTAAGAGGAAACATGTGAGGAGGCTGCAGCATATTAAGAACCTGAATAGAAAATTCATCTACTTGTGCTTCTAACCAAGCATGAGGTGGGATAAATAAGGCGGGTGCTGAACAGTAGCAGATTGAGCCTGAGAGTGAGAGACAGCAAATATGGGTCCTGTTCTCAGCACTCCCTGGGAGCTCGACCAAGTCAAAGCCTCCTGCCATCCCTGACTTGCCCAGGTGTGCAAGGAAGGAAGGAAGATGGGAAACAGCATTCCTGGTACTACCTGGGAGCAGGGGAAATCACTGCCTCACACTGCAGGGGCCGGGTCACCCCTCCCTGGGCAGGAAGGTGACACAAACACAAGGCTGCTCAGGTCTAGGGAAGCAGTTTCACCCAGAGACTCCTGATTTCAGCAGAGGAGAGAATCAGACATTTCAGGGTGCTATAGAGCACCTGTGAGTTGAGGCCCAATTAGAGTGCTGCATTGGTGTATCACCATGTCCCACTCCTGTTTCCCTTTCTTGTTACTCCTCTCTTTTTCCAGAGGTGATTATCACTGCCAGGCAACTGATTCCAAGTTACTGAAACTTTTTTTTCCTATTTTATATTTCATACAATTAAAAAAAATAATTTTCCTAACCCCAGCTTGGGACTGCCCTTGTGTTCTACAAAGCTTTAGGAATAGTTATGACCTAGAAGCCTGATCCATCAAGCTGCTGACCCCTGTCAGCCTGGACTCTGCACAGAGTGCTCAGTTCACATGCAGGTGTTCCAGGAGAGGGCTGGCTCTGGCACCACTGCACGTGCTGAACAGGCACTGCAAGCACAGGGGCTGTTGAGGGAGTGAGGCTTTGCCATGAAGGCAAAAGGCTCATTGCTGGCTGACTTCTTTAAACTGGAATGACCGCAGGAGCCTTGTGGCCACAGACTGCTTTCTGCCAGCTTGTTTGACTTTTAGGCACACACATAAACATACCTGTATCTAGTGGTGTTTTCTTATGATCTGCTAAATCACAGCACTTGTAAAAATATCGAGGGGGAGGTTCAAATGACACAAACCTCATGTGACAATATTGCATGCAACTGCATTAACCAGTAACCACTATGCAATATTAACCCCAGCATGCAGCAGTGCTACCTGAGCATGTGTTTAGAGAATGCATGCAGAAGGCTCACTCGTAGGGTATTCTTAAACTATTGATTCATATCATCATCTGTGGAACATTTTACAAGTCCTTTGCATCTGCCAGACTCAAATCTGAGTTGTTCATATTACCTGGAACAGCCTAGACCAAACACAGAGCCCTTTTAAAATCCCATCCTTCGAATTCACTTTGTGTTGTAGGTTTCATGTTTGCTCCAAGTGTTTAATTAATAACAGACATCTGTATATCAGCTTTTGTAGACATATTTTAGTACCCCCTCAAGAATTAAAAAGTTACATCGGCACAGCTTTCACAGTGAAGCTGGGTGGTTTGGATTTTCACATTTTCATCTCTAGTCTCAACCCCAGAACAGCCAGGTATCCCAGGAATATCCACAGGGCCTCCATGGCAGAAATAACAACTGCTGTCCTCACTGGCACAGCCAGAGCCCGAGGCCTAAATCACTGACTGCTGGAGCCAGTGAGAAATGGAGCAGAGCATAAATTGGTTGTAGATCTCTTTTGCCCAAACATGCATCTGCAAAACGAGACATATTAGTTACTTTCGCATGAATTACCTGCACAGTCAAAAAAATGTGATTTCTGGTCACCAGTGTTGTCAGCTTAGCAGTCTGTACAGTGAATCTATGTAATAAATGTTAATAATATACCAATTATTCACAAAAATGGTAAGACAAAATGCACTGCACGTTGTGAAAAAAAAAAAAGGTGGATATGCAATACAGTATTATCTACTATTCAAACCTTACCTAGGCTAGAATCAGATTCCTTCATTATGGTTCTACTGATTTTTGGACTGGTGAAATAAATCAGAGAACAGGAGTGTTGTGCATGAAGAGGTCACTGACACTTTGAACAAACGTAGGAAAAATTAAAAACAGTCATGCCAGAGAATCCATGGGAAGTTTCAGAGCCTCAGCCCACAAAGTAACAGGCATTAGGCAAGGTAAAGAGACAGAAGGAATCTAAATTTTCCTAAAATATGCTGTAACTTTACAAATGCTTGCAGTATGTGACAACCCATTGAGCAAGCTTGCATGGTCAAGACTTGATGTGCTTTGATCTCTTTTCCCCTTCTACATTTACAGAATGCCATCGACATTGGCTGAACCTTTAATTTAAATAGCCTTTTTAATATCAGTAAGCTATTGTAAATTCAGAAAAATAAAAAAAATTTATAAATATATTTTATATATCAGAGTATAACATATCTAGAGTAAAATAAAACTATATAGTTTTGAGAGGCATTCTGTGTGGCTTCTTCTATATGCTGTAAACTGTTTGAAAACCTTTGCAATCTTGCATCAGTTCTTTTGGCTTTATTTTTAAGCCAACATAGAGGAAGGAAGTGATTCCAGGGTTGGCAGATACTTTCACCTGGGCCATCTGAAGAGCCCTGCTGCTGCACACCCTTGCAGAGCTGCCTGAACCCCTGGTGTCTGTGGGGAAGTGCAGGGCAGGGCTGGGCAGCACTGCCCAGGTGGGAGCTCAGCCCCACACCTGAATGTTTACATTCCCTTACAAAGGCTCACCCTGACCCAGATTCAGAATCTGAATGTAAGAACATACGGGGTACAAGGTCAGTTTCTTACCACAGGTAACTCTGCCTCTGTATGCTTAGTGCATTATCAGCTGTGTATAATATTAAACACAGACCTAGAGTTTACTGATGCTTTAATTTGGTGTTTCCCTGCACTGCTGTTTAAAATAACCTATTTCTTCAAAAAAGAATGATGTGCATACTGGATGTGTTAAATTTATTAAGGTCATAGATGACTATTTGCAAAGCACCACACTTAATGTAGTATTTTTGTACTGTAATGGAAGCATGCCTTCCTTGGGTTCTTTTCCACATATTAAATTGTATTTATTAACTGTATTTATAACTGTGCAATTTTTAAATATGTTTTAAAAATAAACTTTGTCTGTGGCTTCAAATATTTCAAAATCTCTTTTCAACTTGAAAGGGTCTTGATTTCAATTACTTAAAACTGAAAGGAGGGATCTAAGTCTCCAACTGAAAGGATTTTTTCAATAAGGTATTCTATCCTATTGTTTACCAATTGCACATGCTTCTCTGCTTAAAAGTTAAGTCCAGAATACGCTTTTGTTCTCATTTTTCCTAAATTCATTGTTTCTCTGCGGCACAGTTATTTTTAGAATTTATTTTTATTTCAACATGTCTGTCAATTATACTTACAACTGGAATTTACACCAGCTGAGGCCTGGCCCAAAGGGTTCTGCACATACAGCCCATATGAGGAAAATGGGAAAAAATAGATAAGGATTTTCCTGAAGACGGTGCAATAATTAAAACAGAAGTCATAATATCAGAAACCAACCTTTATGAAAAGCAAAGCCAACATGCAGTGACTGAAACCACTACTCAAGCAATTTCCCACATACCACCATAGGAGTTGGCTCTCAGCATTTTCCAGCTCTGTCCTTCATGGGATGAGGTGAAAGTGCTGACAAGGCTGATGTCATTCCTACTCTGTGCTTTTGCTGTGAGACACCAACACAAGCACAGACACGAGGGATAAAAGTTCCTGTGTGCTGCTGTGGACAGAAAAGCTGACAGGCAACGGGGGGCTGTGACAGTGACAGCACAGACATGGAAAAAGCAGGACTCTCTCTCCATGGACATGGGGGCTGCTCCAGGAAAACAAACAGAACACACAACCTGCAGAAGGAAAGCTCTGCCAGAAAAAAACAACCGGGTAAAACCTATGGCTTTAACCAGAACCTTCCACCAAGGAACAAACGAGAACAGACACAAAAACCACACTAACCCTTAGATCAGGACAAAATTAACTGTGAGCTCTTGCCACTGGTGTGTTTTGCTGGGAGATGTTAAAGCTAGTTTAGTTCTTCTTGCTCAAATGCACTGACAAAGCAGCAGCAGGAAAATCCTTTGGTTATGTGCTCCAGATCAGGAGCACAGCACTGCTGTCCTAAAAGACAGTAGGAGAAAAGCACCAGTACCAAATCCACGCACAAAACTGCTCAAAAATCACTGCTAAAGACATCTGAAAACATAATCACCCACTCCAAACAGCTGTCAGTCCTGCAGTAACTGTTTTAAATCATTTTACAGCATTTGTCTTCCACCACAGCTGTCAGTGCTGCCCTTCTTTGGGTTAGGCTTGTACACCTGGGGGACACAAAGGTGCAACTTCCCACTTCAGTGAGGGGGAGCAGAGGCTGGGAACTTGTCAGTTATCCAACACTGCCTCCCACAAACAGTCTGCAAAAGCCAGCAGGCACAAATCCTATACAGGAAATTAATTCCTGAAAATTTTGAGCAGAGCTGGTTAGCTTCTACAGGGAACCACTCTCCCACCTCTTCCAGTTGCCACCAGTGGTGTGAGCAGCGTGGCTTGAGTTGCCATGGTCACAAAGGACATCTGTGATAGAAGAGAAACCAAAACAGATCATTTAGTTAAGACTTCAGAAGCTCAACCATCTCTACATTTCTTATCACTCAACATGGCACATGCCCTCTAATTCCATGTTAAGAAGTGTCACTGAGCCCAGATTTACCTCTTACCTCTCTTCCAGTTGCTGGTCCTATGATCCTATAAAAAGTTGTCACCCCTCAGTCTTCCTTTTCACCCTATTGCATCTACCAGAATCCCAAAAGTCACATTTCTATGAAAAGTCCTTACACGTGAGGAAAACAGACTTCTCCTTTACTGAGCAGCAGAAGAAATTTCTGAGTATGAGGAATTATAGACCATGATAAAGCAGAAATTTGGAGTGAAATGACAGCACTATTCCACACAAAGTGCCAACTCTTGCGATCAAAGAACACCAACAGGCCTAATAGTTAAAAACAAACAAACCAATCTAACTCAAAGCTTGTTTCATATTTTTTGCCGTGTTGTATATTCACTCAGGGATTGGGGGTTTTACTTTTTTTTTTTTTTTTTTTAAATCCACAGAAATGCCAGGAATCACAAGAAATCAAGACTGTCACAAACCTCTCTGTTCCCTATGCAGGGCCTTTTTAAGTAAAACACCAAATGTGAACACAAAGAATGAGAGGCAGCATCAAAACACATCCTGTCTATTCCTCTTCAGTTCAGACAGGAATAAAGAAGCAAGAATCCACACAGTCACCAGACGTGAGAATATTTCTTTTTAATTTAAAACAGTTGCAACAACGTCATTCACAGCCTTTCTCATCTCAGACAAATACTCTCCAGAAAGTTAACAGTGCTTCAAGCAAACAACTCTGAATGATGCAAAGTAAACCAGGACAGACACTTCCAGGATACAACAGTAAAACCACTAAGACTGAAATCAGACACCAATCTCAGCCATTAAGGTAGGAAGGGCGACAGGGAAAACAATAAAATGTCCAGTTACATATTTTGCATAGACTTCCAATGCATGAGAACGGCAAAGAGGATTAAAATGGCTGCTGCCAGGATGGAGAACAAAAGGAATCAGTTGCAGAGGTCTCTAAAGAAATCTAATGAGCTCTGGATGCATCCACATGCTGAATGTGTTCTGTGACCTGGTGGAGGCTGTCTGAATCAAAGAACTGGGCTGATGTTGGTTTCACTTACACCAAAGTCAGTCAGAGGTAATGGCACTGAACCCAGTGGAGTTACAAGTGATTGGGAGTTCAGACACATCTACACTTATTTTAAAACTACAGGTCTGAATAAATTAATGTTTATCCTAATTATATTTTATCTAGGAAGATTAAATAGGAGTTTGTATCTGCATGTGTTTTGGAGACAGGAGACTGTGACTCAGAATGAGGAGTCTACTGGATCCAGCATGCTGCTAGGAATGAGAGGAGAAGAGGAAATCAAGGAAAAGGTATTGAGTTTTTCTTCCTTCCTTTCTCCTAACCTAAATGTATCATATAAAAAAGTAAAAATAAGTTTGAGCAGTAAGAGCATTATTTACTGCCAGGTCCTGGCTTGCCGTGATTCTCAGGCCAGATTGTCTCTAACAGCTCACAGTGATTTTTCTCCCTCCATTATTTTTGTCAAGAAGCTCCCAGCTCACGGAGCCCCCAGCAGCTGCTCCAGCACCCAGACACAGGGAGTGTGCCCAGGCTGTGCCCTGGCACCATTCAGCACATTCAGACTGCAGCAGGCACAGCCTGGCAGATCAGTCCTGTCCTCAGTTCAGTCTGTTTGAGTGGGGCTTCTGCAATCCTGGACTTTAAAAAAACCCAAAACCCACCAAAAATCCTCTCCTCCCCATTAGGCTGAGGAGTCAGGAGTTTAGATCCTGATCCTCCAGGTTCTTGATGTTCTTCACACAAAATCCATCACAAAAAGGAGACAGCTTAACCAGCCACTTCAAAAAAGGAGGGAGGCCACTGTTTTGGGAGAGAATAAAGTAATTCCTCAAGCACCTGACTGAAGAACTTCTAACATATTTTTAACTGCTAAATTTTAGAAAACCTGAAATCCTTTCCCCTGGACTGCTCTCTGCACTCCTGATTAACTTTGGTTTGGGCAGGCAAAACACAGAAGTGATGAACTGAAAAGAACTCCAGGACCTGAGCTGCTCCAATTCACCCACCACAGCCAGCCAAGGGCCCTCCCCTTCCAACCACACTTCCAGTTTATCACCCAAAATGTGCCTCCTGAGACCAGGCAGCTCCACAGCCATCACAGCTCTGGGATGCATCAAACAGTCTGCAAGGTTTCAGCTCCATCCCTGATCCTACAAGACCAGCCATACTTCCAGCTGGGTATTGAACATGTGGGTTACTCAGCTGGCCTTTATTTACCCAACATTTCTAAATAAAAAGGCAGCAGTCACCAGATCTTGGTGTTTCTAAATAGCCCTTTAAGTTCATGAGGCAAGAGGAAAGCTATTGCGTTGAACTTCTTTGGAATATACATGGGAATTGAAAAAAAATATATTTAAAAATTAAAGGAAGGGGGATAAAAAGGCCTTTTCTCCTTTTTCTACTGCCAGAATGAAGAAACACACATATATACAGAAGTTTTGCTCTTTCACTTTAAATAGAAGATGTATCACTGCATAATTTGCTGATCCCATTTTCAAACCTGTCACTTTCTGGTGAAGTCCTCAAATATCTAAAATCTGGAAGAAGCAAAGAAATTACTGGCAGCTTTTATTTCATCCAGAACTGGTGGCTCAATAAGCACAAGGCAGCTGAATGTGACTGAGACCACTCCTCACTGTGCCAGGACACTGCACTAATGTGTCCATAAGAGCTCTAATGCAGGGAGCTCTCCCAGAAATTAGACACCTTTACACTCTGTAAAATTATTGCACTGGAATTTCTCTCACAATCTTTTAAGATCAAAACCTGATTAAAATACCAACAGTGTTTTTTGGCTCTGTGAGTGGCTTTATGACCACCAGACAATGTAAAAACTAAAATTCCCTTCTCACAGATGTTTAATTTGGGTTCTCTTATGTAGTGTGTAGCTGCCTGAATTTTGCTATTAAAACTTGCAGGCACTAACAGCAGAGAAAATGTAATGACACCTCTCTGGCTCTCTTGCACTCTGGAATATTTTTTTTGACTGCTGCAATTTATTTTGAGGGCTTGGTAACATTGTGCAAGGCAACTCCAGCAACAGCCTCTAAGCAGTGTCCAACACTGTGAACCTTTGGGTTTGTTCTTTTTTTGGAATCATGAAAAGTTTGCACTCACCATTATAATTTTTCTAGAATGAGTGTTTTTAAATATAATTTTAAAACCCACATATGTGTTCTCACCTGTGAAAAACACTTAAATAACACAAAAAAAAAAAAGACAGGAAAGGCCAGCCCCTGCCTCCCCATGCCATCATCCCTGCCAGAGATATCAGACCCTGTTTAGAATGTGTCTGTTGAAGAGATCAGATTATTGATGCATTTGCAAGTTTAAAGAAAGTGTAAGTATCAGTTCAAGGGAGGGTTTATTGTGGTTTTTTGTTCTTGTTGGTTGTTGTTTTTTTGGTTTGGTTTTTAACAGAGGAAGAGAGGGGTAAATCAATAAATCAGAAAATTACTAAGCAATTTCCCTCACTCAGGTATAAAAGTCAATATTTAAGCAATCTTTAGCAGAAAGTAGGATTGCACTGTGAGTTCTTTGTTAGGGAGTTGATTTCAGATGGAATATGAGTGGTCTAGATACAAATTTCCCTGACATAAATATAATGGGGCATTAAACTCTTCTTTACCTCCTCCATAAGAAAACAAAATTTAAATAACAGCCTTGCCTTTCCTGAGGGTGTGCATTTAATTTCATAGTCAGAAAGTCTACTGCTTTTAGCCATCTGTAATCCTGAATCTGCTGGTAGAACTTACAAAATAAACATTCAAGTGAAGAAACCTGTATCTGGAAAAATAAAATTTCTCTTTGGCAAAAAATGTAGAGGGCACTGACAGGAGATTGCTCCTGTCTCCATGAGTCTCTTAGGCTTATGCCTGGAAAAGTCAAATCAAGATACTGTACCACTGAATTCCAACAGATACTTCAGCTGACTTTCCTCACTGTACTGAAAATAATCTCTGAAAAAAGACATTCTGCTTTGAAGAACAGCCACAAACCCTCTCCCTTCAAATGATTTCTATGCATGATCTGGACTCTGGATGAAAACACAGGCTCCCAGTCACCAAAGACACAAATATCTGTTTGTGGTCTTCAAAGGACACACAGGCAGGACAGGCAGGAGCTGGGCTGAACTGTTTTTGCTCAACACTGAAGCTTCCATATTCTCCACACACTAGCTGCAAACTCCACCAGAAATCCACATAGCCTGTAAGGTGTATAAATTTAAAACAATGTCCTATACAGCACCTAATAGAAATCTTCTGTCTAACACTTAAGGCGGCATCAAATGATTGTTTTTAAATACACTATAAACATCCCATGGTTTCCTTTGCTTTTTGGCAGTCCAAGGGTTAAGGGGTCTTTTGTTGGTTTTAGATTTTTATTGTATGCTTTTTTTTGGGCAGGTTAAAAAGGCTTATGGCTTCTTAAGGCCAGGTGATAGATTTGAGGCCTAACTTGGTATCCTGTGGTAAAAATAAATGTAGCCCAGGTCTTTGGGAGGTCGTTCTGAGGCACAGACTCTAAGGTCGTTGTAGATCACCCATCTGAAAGGAAAACAAGATTGATTACATTCCATGAGTATAAAATTCACCACAGGTTTATCAAGGACTTCTCAGACCCAAACCTCAAAGTGTTTAAAATCTAAAATTAGGCATTGCAATGAGAACAAAGGATCAGAGAAACAGCCAAACCAGCTGCCAGAGTCGGGAACAGAAAGGGAGGAGGGATGTGCAGAGGCATGTGTCATTACAGCTCAAATGAAGGAAAATCAGGGATTCCCAATGTCAAATAATGGGAGCATATCAGAATCAGAGCCAAGATCAGCACCACAGTACCAGCAGCACTGGTATCAGCCCATGGCTCCATGCCTTTCTATTGATGGGCAGCAAAAGGAAGTTGGGAAGAGCTCAGATAAACTCAGCCAGATACAGAACCAATGCCCCAAACTGAACAGAGATTTGGAATGGCAAGCACAGGAGAGCCTATGGAACATTTCACCAGACTTCAGTGGGATCAGAACTGACTCATCACATCTACGACAATTTTCTTTTTTTTGATGGGAAACCTACAGATGGTAACAGCCTGTGTTGTCTGCCACGAGCATGCCCTGCTCTGTACAGATGCCTCAAGTCAAACATTTGCTCATCCCATGTGTCTCTCCCAGCTGCACTCACCTTCCTTCCTTTCTGAGGTGACAAACGTAGTGGCCACTCATTGTGGATGTTCCCATGTGGCTGATGAACCCAAACAGCTCATATCCTGTTTTAAGAAATACAAATGGCACCCTAAGTCTTTCACTGCTACCACTGCAATATGACTCCAGGGGAAATCTTCTTTCTAGTACTGGAGAAGCAGCTAAGCACTCCCAAAACAGACTTTGCATCCCCAAACTTAGTTTCTGTTAACACTGCAGCATATTCCCAACTTAACTGGTGGCTCAGATTCACTGTCAAACATCAAACCAATCCAAATCAAGCCCACAGAGACCTGTGCACATACAGCAGGGCTGTGAAAACAGCAGATTCATTGCCAGTTCACAGAAAGCACCACAGAAAATGCCAAACAGGGAGTTCATTCTGCACACAAATTAGCTGTGTCTATACATGTGATCACAGATTTCCTACAAATCAAAAAACACAGAAGTCTCTATTTCATAGCATAGAAGAGAGGACAGGAAAGAAAGCTCTCCCTTTAACATAAGAACAATTTTTATGCTTAAAGTCTCTGGAGAGCTCAGCACTGGTTCTTGATCCCCACCCATTCATGCCATTCACCTGAATTACCACTAAAACCAAAAGGGCACCTTTTTTCAGGATATTGCATAAGGACATGGGCCTGGATTTTGCTGGAGAGGGCTTTCTGGAGCTATTTCAAAGAATCATGTTTGTTATCAGGATTTCAGGCACTTACTGAAGGTCTCAGTCTATAAAGGCTAAGTACCACAAAAAATAATTATTCCAAGTCTGGGGCTTTTTTTTAACTTAGCAATGATCAATATTTCCCATGTCTCCAAAAGACTTAAGGTTGATATTTATAATGTTATATAACAGTAGCAACCACAGACATAAAAACCAAATTGTCTGGTAATTTTTTTTCCTAGACCTTTACATTCAAGATCAGAAGTAGAAGTTTAGAACATATTACAGTTATTAGAACTCATCACTAAAGACCCTTCAAAAAACTTTGTGACATCCTTAGCACCACCACTGAGCTTTTGTACTCCAGTGCTGTGACACCTCCACGAGGTTCTTCTCAACTTTGCCTGCTGTACATTAGCCCCATCTTGTGGTTTATTTAGCAGCAGTGTGACAGAGAATCTCAACCAAAAGAAAACAAAACATGCAGGACACTAACTGTACTTGTGGTATTGTGAGTAAGGAAGTTGGTTGAAGGGATTATCAAATTGCCCAGCTGACACAGGAGGACAGAAACTCAGGTGGTCTGTAGCAACAGTGTTGCCTTTAGGATGCTCAGCCTTTGAAGATTCAAACATTCTAGCTTTTCTTTGTCTTTTTATCTCATAGCAACAGAACAAAAGGTAAACCTAGGCCAGGAGAGACTTGTGTGCTGTGGTAGCAAGAAACTTAGGGCTTGGATTATTCAGTGAGTCCAAGCAGAGAGTTTTCTGAGCAAACACAGCCCAGAGAACTCAGTGGCCCACAGAGCTGTATCAGCCCCACAAACAAGACTGCAAGTAAATTGTCTGGATCGTGACCAAAGAACCCACAACAACTACTTTCAAAACAGAAAGGAGCTCTATGAACAGGGTGGGTGTGACACAACAGAATGACAGCCAGGTGTAAGCTGAAGCAGAACTTACTTCCAGGTCCATCTTTGATCCTGGGTCCCTCTGACCCTGTCTCTGCAAGGATATTGGCATTAGCATTGTTCTCCATATCCATCGTGTCCAAAGCAGGGTCACTTTCTTCCTCAGGGTCAGGGTGGCTGAAGATCCACTCCAGTGCCCGCTCCAAGTTGTTGTTCTGCCAGTCAAACAATCAAAAGAGCAGCCTTTAATACTCTCTCACATCACACTGCCACTCATCAGCCTTTGAACAGAGTAAGGGTCTTGTTTACAGCACTTAAAATGTTGTAAGATACCTCTGCCTCCCTGGAGAACAGTATTCAGCAAGCACTCTGCAAAAGTCTGACATATGGAAAAGAAATAATCTCACAACTGAGACCCACTGCCCCAAGCTCTTATCTTTCAGACACACAGGCATCCAGGTTATTTTTCAACAAATCATAAAACCAGGTAAGTTTTCCTCACTGCCTCCTTTACCACTGAAAGTGAAACACACAAAGCACCTTCCCCACTCCAGAGAAGACAGGTATCCCACACTTTGCCAGGACAGTTCCAGGCTCACCATCCACTAACTGGATTTTTGCACACATTTCAAAGGCATCTGAGCATCCACAAGCACAAAGCACAGAACACGAAACAAAACCCCAGTGCTACCAATAACCCATGAACTCACTGTTGCCTTCAGTGCCTGAATTGCCAGATTCCTTTGGAATCCCATGGAAATGATAATTGCAACCATCTCTTCAGGAGGCTGGTTATCTAACCCTACAGCTCCTAAAGCAGCTGCCCCACTGGAAGCAACTTCTCCAAATGCAGGTATGACCAATGGCTCAGCGAAGTCTGGAACAAACAAACATTCATCAGTTCCTTCTTTTGCCTCACTTAACTGAAAGTCAACAACAAACACAAATGAACAACACACAGGACCTCAAAAGCAGTCCTGAAATCAATGTAAGTTCATTTCACTGGCATCTAAATTCAGACTTAGATGTGTGGAAAGCCTTAAAAACAACAAAATGAATGTGCACTTTACAAATTATCTAGGTGCATGTGCTCATACTGAGCAGACTGGAATAACTCAGCACATTGCAGAAGTGAAACAACTGCAGGAAAGCAGCAAAGATTGGTATGGAAGCAATGATGGCATCAGGATAATAGACAACCCAGTGCACAGATGTAAAATGAACTGATTCCATATCTGAAAATGTCTGCTAAGCCCAAGTGAAACTCACTCCCCATTTACACAAGCAACACAAAAGCTCATGGTGAAGCGTGAACTCAACCAAATCTGGGGTTTCCTGGCAAGGGAGTACTCAGGTGCACTCAGTGCTGAATCATGAGTCCAAACTTTGCACAGATGAAACACAAGAAGTGGAGAACATCTAGCAGCCCTGTCCACCACTAGACAGC